GTATGGAAAAAATCCTGGGATATTCAGTAAATAATAGAAAAGAAGAGATTAGCAATTCTCTTATTTTACTAACAGTGAACATCGGAAGTCCCAGACTGCATTAAGACCCTATCTGTATGAAGGATTCCAGTTAGAAAGATTCTAATCAATGGTGCTAACAGTTAAAATATAAATGTTAAATTTGTGATTAAGAATGTCTGAATTTACCTTTTTTTTTTTTTAACCGGGAGTGGCTGCTTTGAACTCTGGAACACAGTGAAGTGGATAAAACCCATCATGTGCCTGCTTCTCTGGTCTGTAGGGAGCCTCCCTTCTGTGCTAGCCCACTGGCGGAGATAGTGCCCGCAGCCTGGGGACTCAGTGCTGCTATCAGTTAGGCCAGGCTCTTCCAGGAGCCATGGCCGCAGGTCCCCCCGCGGAGAGGCTGCGGGAGGAGGCGAGGTGCCCAGTGTGTCTGGACTTCCTCAAGGACCCTGTCAGCGTCAACTGTGGACACAGCTTCTGCTTCAAGTGCATCTCCGAGTTCTGCGAGAAGTCCGACAGTGCGCAGGGCGGCATCTATGCCTGTCCCCAATGCCGGGGTCCTTTCAGCCCGGAGAGTTTCCGTCCCAACCGGCAGCTGGCCAGCTTGGTGGAGAGTGTGCAGCAGCTGGGACTGGGCGCGGGCCCCTCGGCTGGGCGCCTCTGCCTGCGCCACGGCGAAGAGCTGAGCCGCTTCTGTGAGGAGGACCAGGAGGCGCTCTGCTGGGTCTGCGACACCACGGAGCACCGGGGCCACCCCACGGCGCCGCTGCAGGAGGCCGCCAGGGCCTACCAGGTGAGAGAGAGGCGCTTGCAGAAGCTGTGCTGACCCAGAAACAGGCCGAGCAGGAGGGTCGGAATTCTGTGTCTCCTCCCATCGGAGCAACTCAAAATCAGTTGCAGTCCTCCTTGCCCTTGCTGGAGGTATTCGACTCCTGAGACAACTTGCTCAAGATCTTGTCCAAAATCCACTGATTTTGTCAGGCTGCCACCTCCTCTCTATAAAGCCTCCCCCCTTCCCCTCAACACCCCCCCCTCCTTTTTCCTGGCCCAAGGTCAGACTGCTGAACTTGTTTGGCTCTTATGGACTGGGTCCTGTAAAGTTGCCTAATTAAAATAGACTCCACAAGGACGAGTTTTCATTTTGGTTTTGTTTGTTTGTCTTAATAAATAACTATAGATAAGCTCTATCAGATGTCCTAGAGCCCTAAATGATACTTCCACAGTTCTTGTAGTAATCAATCATGTTCTCCAGCTAATTACTGTTGAACGCAAACACCTCACACCTGTCCTTGTGCTTTAACTCACAATTTCTGCCGTTTAAGTAGCTTTCTTTTCAATCTACAAGTATTCGTTGTGTCCTTCCAAAGATAATGCCACTTTCACCATCTTGCTAAATCAAATCTGAATTCTATAGTCATCTGCTGTACATTTCTATATATAGCATAAATCATACATACTCTCCTTTTATAATGCATTCTTGGAAGGATACATTAATAACATGGTTGTGTATACTTTCTCCTATTAGAAATTTGTAGTTGTATGTATTTGTGGTTGTATATATCCTCTGTGACAAATGTATTTACATTGAATTGGGATCCCTGGAGTGAAGGCAGATTTATATTTCATTGTATGTTTCTTCTATCCCTTGAACTATTTACTAACTGTACTTATAGTACTTTTCATTTTTAAAAAAACATGTAAACTGACATGACAAGTTTTGCTCTCCAAAACATATATATTTTAAATTATAGAATAATAGTTTTGAGAAGTAGAAACTGAAGAAGAGATATATGGAATAATGTTATTCTTCAATTTGGCACCAAGAAACATTTCTTCTACTAAACATTTTCATTGACTTCTGTTTAGTTTTTAAAATTTATTACAAGTTCTTTTCCCTACACTGATATCAAATTATTTGCAGCATACATATTTAAATTAATGTCACAACTGACGGCACTCCACCACATTGAGTCTTCTGTAATACCTTATTTTCATTTAATCCTGTTGATGTAAAAGATCTCCCCATACTTAACATTTTGAATAACTTCATTTGATGTATTTTAAATAAAAGTATCACAAACATACTTTTAAATGATTAGTTGGTTATATCTTGATATTATATATAACTAGATAAATATGGACATATATATTCATTTTTAATGATTAATTCAGGCCTTCCCTATTTTTCAAGAATTTACACAAAAAATGTATTACAAGAATTCTATTAATACCAAAGAATGATACTCATGGGGATTGTGAATAATTTCAATCTAAATAAGCATAATCCATGCCCCATATTAAGTTCTGACAGTTATGGCCTTAATAAAGCTTAAATTTTCTTTTTCAGTTATCACTGGTTAAAAAAATAAACCTGTCTCCTAGTGGTTCAATCAGCTTAAATAATATAATTCTGTGGTGCCAAAATTTAACCTAAATATTTTATTAAACAGTGTCATTTGAAATTGTCTTTATTTTGAAACCTAAAATGACTATAAATGAGTTAAACAATTTTTCTACCAATCAATATTGCTGCTATAAAGTAAAGCTTATATATTAAATTTCTAGTACTCACTGCCATCAAGTCATTGCTGACTGATAACAATACCCTGCGGGTTTCCAAGGCTGTATGTTTATGGGAGTAGAAAGCCCAATCTTTCTCCAAAGGAACTGCTGTCAGTTTTGAACTGCTGACCATGCGGATGGTCCAACGCTTAATCACTACAACCACCAGAGCTCCATTTAATTTTCCAATATGGTACTATATTTCCACAAGACTTTAAAAGTCTGTAATTCTATACAGTTTTCGTCAGTGAGGCCAAATATAACTTTTTAATATGCAAATAATTTAAGTTTTCAAGGGGGTATATCCTGTAAATCAGGTGCAAATTAGTCATAATACCATACCAAGACTGTTAAGTAATCTGGAAAAAGATGTTTACATTACTGCTCCGTTTTTTAAAATGCTAATTTTTTAATTGATACCTCTATATTCTTATTTACAATGTCCTCTGTTGTCTTATACTGTCTGACATGTAATTTGGATTTATTGATGTAGTTCAAAATTTTCAAACAGTTGCAAATTAATTCCTATTTCAGCCAATGCATATATTCTTCGTTAATGATTTATTATACCAACTTACCATCTTCCTAGAATATGTAACTGTCCCAAGTGGAAAAACAAAATGCAGAGCTTTATTTCCTCCTTAAATATTTTCAAATGTTATAGTAACAAAATCCATGAAAAACTGATAATTTTTTATCTTGCTTTAGTAATTATGAGAACAGAAAGAGATTTAACAAACGTAAATGTTTTTAAAATATCTCTTTGCTTATACTAAGAAATACTATAACTGTTTATTAGCTATTTTCTAGTTTCTTCACATATAGGACATCCAATGGTTTTATTACTGAAGAGAAATAAACAATCAGTCTCATGTAACTCAAAAAGTTGTGTTGGGGAGCACAAAATGATAATGAGTTTGGTTTTTAAGAACCTACTACTGGACATACCTTGCAGAGGGGTAGTGGGGAGATGAGTCACTTAGGGTACAGTATAGCAATAATGAAACCCACAACCTTCCTCTAGTTCTTAAACGCTTCCTCCCCCCAACTACCAGGACCCCAATTTTGCCTTGCAAATCTGGTTAGACCAGATGATGCACAGCGGTACAGATGGGAATTGGAAACGCAGGGAATCTAGGACGGAGGAACCTCTCAGGACCAGGGGTGACAGTGGCGATACCAGGAGGGAAAGGGGGTGTAGTAAGGGGGAATGGATCACAGGGAGCCACATATGGCCTCCTCTCTGGGGGACGGGCAGCAGCGAGGTGGGTGAAGGGAGACACCGGACAGTGTAATATAAGATACAATAATAATTTATAAATTATTAAGGGTGCATGGGGGAAAGGGGAGGAGGAAGGGAAGGGGAGGGGGGGAGGAAAGGAAAATGAGCGGATTCCGGGAACCCAAGAGGCAAGAGAATTTTAGGAATAATGAGGGCAACAAATGTATAGATGTGCTTTACACAATTGATCTATGTATTGTGATGAATTGTATGAGCCCCAATAAATTGATTAAAATAAATAAAATAAAAAGTGTATTAATGTAAAGAAAAAAAAAAAAGAACCTACTACTGTTGACCCTGAAATACCAGCCTTTGAACAAAACAAAATAAGACTACAGTGGCAAGCCTTCACTTCATTGGGGAATTCTGAAATAGCTAATAGTTTGTTATTGTTCACGCCCACCCTCTACTCAATCTGGTACAGCTTCCTTTTGTTTTTCTGGCTTTTTAGCTGCAGGTAGTTCAGGGTTTGCCTACTTCATGGTGCAGTCTTCTCCTGGTGAGCACAATTTTTGTGGCAGTCATAGTTACATAGCTTCGCCTTATGCCAATCACGTCCATAATTTCACATTGTGATGGGATTCCTACTCTCCTACAAATACTATGAGGACATTTGACAATGTACTATGTGTTTTTAATTGCTTCTACATGGGTAGGAGCTTGAATGATGTGTTCCTGAAATCTGGGTTTCCGTTCAGATAGTTCCTGCTTCTCAGTAGTCTTGCCTTCAGGTTTGACTGGGTCGGGTGGCTTCCTACTCTTAAGCCTTCCTTTTGTACAGCCTCCAAAGCTTAAGAAATCAGAAAAACCTGTTGTTTGTCCTTTACAGGAAGACCACCCCTTAAAGGCATCCTGAAAGACTGGAACACCTGGGTGGTATGTGCAAGCATCTTCGGCATTAGTCTCCAGATCGAAACCTTGGCCACAGCCCCGGTTGTAGCATAGCAAGGCCATGTCTTTTCCTGCTGTTAGTGGGAAGGTTAGAATGCTGGGAACCAAATGAGGGTGCATGTGTAATTGGCCCGGGACGGGTCTGACTCTCCTATTCTTTTTCGGTACCATTTCTAAAGGGTTTTTTTTAATAAAACTTTCCTACAACATCTAGTTGATGTTAGATGACTATATGAGACCATCTGCAAAAATATCTGCCTATCTTCTCACACAGATAAAGCTACAAAGAGCCCTGGAGCTTGTGAGGAAAGAGATGGAGGAGGCCTTGACTCAGGAGGCCAACGTGGGGAAGAAGACTATAATTTGGAAGGTAAAGTGTATTGGTGCTCTGGACGCTCACCATTCTAAAGGATGCCCTCCTTCTTGTATGCCAAACCACTGTTCCATCTATGTACTTGCTCAAGAAAAAAATCTTGTTATTTGGGTACACGTTAGTCCGCTCACATTATATTATGCATCTGTGGTTTTTGTTTTAACTCCATTGTTTACTAGCCTAATCCAATTATGAATAAATGTTTCTACTGGTTTTTATTTTACTTTAAAACTCACTATTATAACCAGAAAAAGGCTTCCTATTGTCATCACTATTTTCTTTTCATGGTTTGGCTGCATGGAGTCAGTCTGACTCAAAGCAGCCCTGTATCAACAGAAGGAAATATTGCCCGGTCCTGCACTATTTTCATAATCACTTCGATATTTGAGTCCATTGTTGCCAACAATGATCCAGTCTATCTCAATAAAGGTCTTCTTTATTCACTGACACACCAAGCATAATGCCCTTTTCCAGAAACTGGTCTTTCCCTATAATCTGTACAAGGGACAAAATCTTGTGTCTTCAATTCTAAGACTTTTCTGTCCGTACTTCTTCCTGTACAGATTTGTTTGTTGTTCTGGCAGTCTGCAGTACTTTTAATCTTCCTTGCCAACACCATATTCACATGTATCCTTCGTCTTCAGCCTCTCTTCATTGTCCAACTCCCACCTGCATGTGGGGGATTGAAGATACTGTGACTGTCTATGGCAGGAGCACCTAAGTCCTCAAAACGACTTCTTTGCTCTTCAACACTTTAAAAAGGTCTCCTGTAGCAGGTTTGCCATATGTAATTCCTGACTACTGCTTCCCTGAGCATTGATATTGGAGCCAAGAACAACAAAATCCTTGACAACTTCAAGCATTTTTCTGTTTATCTTGATATTATTTATAGGTACACTTGTGAGGATTTTTGTTTTATTTATATTGGATTGTAATTGCTCATGGAAGCTCTCGTACATGACCTCATCAGAAAGTGCTTCAAATCTTCTTGACGTTCAGTAAGTAATGTTCTGTCCCTTTGTTAATAAACCATCCTCTAATCCTCGCATTCAAGTACTAACCAGGCCTAACCCTGCTTAGCTTCAAGATCAGACAAGATAATGCACTTCAGGGTGGTATGACCACGGACGCATCCTCCAATCCTTATGTACCATTATAGTCCAGTTTCTCAGATTATTTGCTCAGCATACAGATTGAGTAAGGATGGAAAAAGGATAAAACCCTGAAACACACTTACCCCAATTTTAACTTTTCAGTATTGACTGGTTCCATTCCAAGGACTACCACTGGTCTATATACAGGTTTTACATGGGTACAATGAAGTGTTCTGGAATTCCCATTCTCAGTGTTTCACATTATTGTTATTATAACCACCATTCAATACCTTTTCACAGTCAGTAATAGTAAAAAAAAATATCTTTCTGGTATTCTCTGATTTCAGTCAAGATTCATCTGCTTTAGCAATGGGATCAGACCTCCTCTGAATCCAACTTGAATTTCTGGCTACTTTGCACCAGGATACTACTGCTACCATTCTAGCTTTTCTTCAACAAAATATTACTTGCATGTGATTGTAAGGACATTATTTGATAATGACTGCATTCTGTGTTGGGTTACTTTCTTTGGATAAGGCACAAACATGATACTCTTCCAGGTGGTTGGCCAACTAGCTGTCTTCCAAATTCCTTTATATGGAAGGGTGAGTCCTTCCAGTGCTTCGCCAGCTTGTTGAAATATTTCAGTTTGTGTTCTGTCAATCCCAGGAGTGTTCATTTTCTTAATGCCTTCAGTGCAACTTAGATTATTTTTCAATACCATTTGTTCTGGGTTATTATGCTGCTTCTTAAAATGTTTGAACATTATCTCATTCTTTTTAGTAAGTCAACTCTGTCTATTCCTTCCATTGCCTTTCAGTGTTTTCTACATAGTTCAATATTGCAACTTAAACTTTTGAATTATTTTTCCAGTTTTATAGGGTTAAAAAATGCCTACTGTCTTCTTCACTTTGTTATTGTCTAACTATAGGTCTTTGTACATTTCAGTTTAATATTTTACATTGTCTTCTGGAATTTGTCTTTGAAAAGGTCTGTTCAGCTCTTTTCATCTAGTCTTGCTTGTCTACATTCAAGGACAATTTTCATAATCTCTTCTGACATCGATTTTGGTCTTTTTGTTCTTTCCTAGCTTTTTAATGAACTTTTGCTTTCTTCATATATGATGTTATTGATGTCATCCACAACTAATCTCATCTTTGATAATTAATGCTTAATGACTTGTCTATTATTGAAAATATCTATCAATCCAAGTGGTATGTATGCAAGGTTATATTTTTGCTCTTGTGCATTTATTTAAAATTTTCAGCTTCAATATATACTTACATAGGAACAATTGATGGGCTATTCTACAGTCAGTCTCTGGTCTTGTTTTGACAGATGATGTTCAGCTTTTTTATTATCTTTTCCTCAGATATGTATTTTATTTGGTTACTGTGTATTCAATCTGGTGCAGCCTATGTGCAGAGTTGTTGTTTGTACTGTTGAAAAGTGATATTTTCACTGAGTAAGTTTGTCTTGGAAAAAATAATACCTAGGAAAATTCAGGATTTTTTAAATTTCTAATGTCATATTTTCCAACTACAGATCCTTCTTGGTTACCCATGTTCTTAATCCAAACAGTAATTACAAATGTCTTTAATTCCATGTATAACCAATTTCAGACAACAGAAGTTGGAAGAATTCTTTAATTTCTTCATTATTGACTTTAGGGATTGCTGCCTAAATTTGAACAAAGTTATACTAACTGGTCTTCTTTATAAGCATATGCATATTATCCTCTCATTGACAGCATAATTCATCAAGTTGTATCTTAAAATTTTCTTTATGACAATTAATGCAATGTCATTCCTCTGAAATTTATCATTTTGGGCACAGTATACTATGATTGCTTGGATCAAAATAGTACTTACCTGTCCAGGTAACCAATACCAAGAATATTGATCTCATTTGCTCCATGTGAAGATCAAGATTTTAGTCTTCAATATAGATTACAATCAATGCAAAGAAAACCAAACTCCCACCAAATGGACCAAAAGGAACCATGATAAATAGAGAAAAGATTAAAGTTGTCAAAGACTTCATCTTATTGGATATACAATCAATGTGAATGGAAGCAGCAGTGAAGAAATCAAGCAAAGTCCACCATTGGATGAATCTGCTATAAAAGATCTCTTTAATGTGTTAAAGAGC